ATCACTGGTCTGTGAAAGCTAGTATGGGAACTGCATTTTCATTCCTTTTTATATGTAATATTTGTTGGAGAATGCAAATTAATTATTCCTGATCATTATCTTCATTTTATTTTTCCTCTAAAATTTTTCTAACAAAAATGACAAGTTTCCTTAAAATAAACAAGGATCCAAACATATTATAATCCAGACTTTGTACCTGTAGGAAATGTACCTTTGATATAATTGAAAATACTTGATTCACTTGTTTTTCTTTTATTTCCCTCTGTTTTAGAGCAAACACTGTATCCTTGATGTGTCCGGAAATGCCATAAAGAGATTACAGATTGCACAGCTTTACCCAATCTCCATTTTTATTAAACCCAAATCCATGGAAAATATCATGTAAGTGTAATGCCTAAGGCATAGCCTCTTAAGTATAAATTTAGTCACTGTTGGGTAATTATTTACCCTCCCTGCATCTCAATTTCTTTATCTATAAAATGGAGATAATGATAGTATGTATATTCACCTATTAGTTGTGAAGATTAATAAGCACTATGTGATATTAACTATCATTGCCATAATCATCATTATCATTAATATTATTACTAAACTAGAAGGTATCATGTATTAAAACTTTAAGTATAAATAGCTACCCATGCTGCTACTGAATTGTGCAGCACAGCTCTACGGTAACCATTAAGAGAAAAAAAAAATATATAACTATTACCTAATAGAGTGCAAAAAATAACATCTAAGTAAAAATTAAAAGAAAAGAAAAAGCAAATAGAAACATAGAACAGGTGGGACAAAAGGATATAGATAGTAAGATGGTATAAATGAACCCAAACATTTCAATAAATAGACTATGTTGGTCCATTTTTGTGTTGCTACAACAGAAATACCTGAAACTGGGTAATTTATAAAGAACAGTGGTTTATTTGGGTTACTATTCTGGGACAGCTGCATCTGGCACGGGCTTCAGGTTGCTTCTACTCATGGCGGAAAGCGGCAGGCAGATGGCAGGTACAAGCAGATCACATTGGCGAGAGGAAGGAAGAGAGAGGAGGTGCCAGGGTCTTTTAAACAACCAGCTCTCCCTGGAACTAATAGAGCAAGATCTCACTCAGGACCCTCATCCTCCAGGGAGAGCATTAATCCATTCATGAGGGATCCGCCCC